TAGAATTGGTTCATTTGTTACAACTGCTATACAATATTCATTCCTGTGTGAATAAACAGTCTTTCCATTCCTCTACTGATGGACATGTAGGTTATTTCCACTTTTTTCTAGGATAAACAACGCTGCTGTGAACAACTTCATGTATGACTCTTTGGGCACAGTTACCTGTTCAGCTTTATTTTGTTTTGGCAAATTATTTAAATAATGGGATTGTAATAATTTGCATTCTCACTAGCAAGCTTCCTGTATTCCTAAATACTCAAACACACTTAAAGTCAATAATGTTATTATTTTTGCCAATAATATGAGTATAAAACGTTATCTCATGATTCCTTATTTTGCATTTTTGTTATTTCCAATGAGATTAAATATCTTTTTATATGTTTATTGGCCATTTGGATTTTTATCTCTGTGAATGCAATATCCTTTGATTATTTTGTATTTCTTATATTTTTGTCTTTTTTTATTGACTCATTAGTATTCTATACGTATTCTGAATACAGATCCTTTATCCAACAAATTCTCTATAGTCACATTTACCAGCCTGTTTGTTTATTGCTTCAATAAAGTACTTTTTAGGCTTTTCTGTGAGTTAAACTCTTGCTACATAAAGTGTGATCCATGGACCAGGAGCATCAGCATCAGCTGGGAATTTGTTAAAAATGCAGATTCTTAGGGCCCACCCGAGATCTGCTAAATCAGAATCTGAATTTTAACAAGACCACTAGATTTTTATGTGCATTAAAGATTTTTTAAATACTGGATTAAGTGATTAAGAAAGTGCAAATTTTCTTCCCTGGGGTAATAGCATAGTAGTCCCCACCTGCTTTCTGCTGCTTTTTTATAAATGAAATTCCTTGGCTTTGGACCTGTATGTCCTCAGTTCATATATCCTGGAGTTGTACCACAAAATTTCAGAAATCAAAGAAGCTATTAGAATCTGATTTATTGATCTCAGGGTCATGAGATTGAGCCCTGCATCAGGCTCCACGCTCAGCACAGAGTCTGCTTAAGATTCTCTCTCCCTCTGCCTCTGCCTGCCCCCCAATGTGCACATGTGCTCTCTTTCAGATAAATAAATCTTAAATATATATTAAAAAAAGAATCTGATTTGTAAGTCTGGATGTTTATGGGATTTTGTAGTGGGGTTTTCAAAGTGGAGATACACCTGTTTTTCTGATTCCCAAGAAAGAAACAGTGTTGGCAACTGCATTGTAATGCAATTCAAAATGCAAGCCTTGGAGGTTTTGTTGAATGCTGCCAAGAAAGGAACTAGTTCAGCCAGGAAGCATAAGCCATCAAATGTCTTCCTTGTTTGTACATGCCTCTATTTTTAAGTTGACACAGAATGCTCCAGAAATGAATAACAACTAGAATTAATAGGGGAAACTGCCCAGAGTTGTGCATGTCATCAGACATGTGATGACTCCTCTATATCAACATGATTTTCTGAGGTTGGCCAGCTAGGAAGGGGAGCACACGCGGTGAAAGCACAGGACTGCAGCTGAGAGTCATGAAATTATACCTTAGAACTTCCTGCTTTCTCCAGCATGAGGGAAGTGACTCCACAGGTTAAGACCATCTGGCTATGGGGGTGTGGTGGAGATATGTACTCCTTCCTGAACGTCACGGATGCTCTCCCCTTTCCCCGCCTGCCCGTAGTATGCAGGGGCATAGAACACTGGATCTGGCCAAGGGGTGGTAAGAAGCAGAAACGTGTTACCTCTGGCCTGAAACATTTCATTTCCTGCTTCCTCTCTCTCTAGACCTGCTACGGCAAGCAAAGAGGTCAGGAGTCACAAATGGTGCAGCTACAAGATCGCTGAACCTCCATCAGTGGTCCCAGCCCCTGAGTGATCAGGTAAAGCAGATCCCGCCCCCCCACTGACCCATGTTGGACATGTAGCATGAGTGAAGGACAAAACACTTTTGTTTGTGTTAAGCCACTGAGATTTGAGTGTTGCTTGCAATGTAGCATAGCCTGGGTTATGTGGATACAGTAAGCCTAGCTGACTCTGCCTTATTCATGAGAGCCCAGGCACCACACCGTAAGTTCCATGTGCATGATCTAGTACCTCACCTTCCGGGAAAGACAATAGTATTATATATTATATGACATATGCGATATGTATCTGTATCATATATATCAATTTTATGTAGATACCATCTTATGTATATGTATTTATACATATATGTATAAATACAGCCTCAGAGGGGAGGCTGCTTCTCCCTCCCCCCTCTTACGTATTGTGCAAGGAGGTTTTCTTCCTTTCCTCTTGTTATGCTAAAAGTAGTGTCTTCCCTTCTAGCTAAGACTAGTCCCTCCACAGGCGATCTGGATACCATCTCTTCCTCCCTTATAGTATTGGTTATTGCTTCACTCTCCTGAATCTGTGTTTTCTCTCCTATTTGCTTTGCCCCTCACCATTCTCAAGTCTCTCCAAACTTAAGAGAAGCCCTCCATCCACCTCTTTTCCCCCTCCAAATACTATCTCCTGTCCTCTCCTATCCCATTTCAGTCTCCTGGGTGTCCAAAGTGTTCACCCTCACTTGTTTCTCTCATCTTTTCCCACTCTCTACTCCAGTATTCTTTCTTCCTCCATCACTCTACCAAACACCTTTTTTCAGCACTAATGATATGCATTAAGAAATTCAGGGGGCAGTTTCCACCTTACTTCATTTCTCAGCATCACGTGACACAACTGACCACACCCTCCTGTTGAAACCCTATTCTGTCGGCTCTTTCTCTGAGGCTCCTCTCTGCTTTCGAGCTTCATCATCTCTTGTTGGGCCATTTAATGTTGGCCTTCAGCATGACTCACCCTAGCCTCTCTTTCCTTTTCATTCTATAGTCCCTTTCCAGTCTTTCACCTAGAAGTCTTTCCCGAGGCTACCTAGACCCAGGCACCCCCAAATATGTCTCTCCATCTGGGGCTCCTACTTGCCAACTGGCTGCTCAGCTCAGCATCTCCACTTTGATGCCTTAGTGTGCTCAAAGCTGAACTGTAATGTACTCTCCACCCCGCCTACCCAACTCCACCCTTCCTTCTCTTTCCTCGGTGTTCCCCATCTTAGTGAATGGCACCACCCTTCCCCTATTTGCTTATGTTGGAAACCCGGGAGTAGAGCTGCATCAATACCTTCTGGAACACTCAGCAGCAAAACGTGCTTTCTCTTTTTGAAATTAAAAAAAAACAAAACAAAACTTGGGGCGCCTGGGTGGCTCAGCTGGTTAAGCGTCTGCCTTCGGCTAAGGTCATGATCCCGGGGTCCTGGGATCGAACCCCACATTGGGCTCCCTGCTCAGTGGGGAGGCTGCTTCTCCCTCCTCAGTGGGGAGGCTGCTTCTCCCTCCCCCCTCCTCCCCTGTTCCTACTCTCTAGCTCCCTCTCTGTCTCAAATAAATAAATAAAATCTTTAAAAAAAAAACTAAACATAGCATAACTAAAGGAAGTCTTTAAAAATTCTTACTTTCCCATAGTGACTATTATGATGCTTTCACGAAGAATATCTTATTTTTCCCAAAATAATTTAGGGCCCTTCTTTGCTGTTGTTCTAAGAGCTATTTGGTAGTCCTGCAGTGCCTAAGAGTCAATAGTCAGATACCATTTCTTATTGATTCTACCTCCTAAGACATTTTCAAGTCGGCCTTCTCCAGATCTGCCAATACACCATATTCTAAGCCACAGTGACTGGTTGTTGGTATATCTGCAATAGCCCCTGAACCCTCCTCCTTGCTCCAATTATTCCCCACAAATCAGCCGGGAAATACACATAGCTGATCCTGTCACTCCACTGCCTAAAACCCCTCAATGGCTTCGCATTGTCCTTAGGGTGAAATCTCAGATCCTTAACAGGCCCACAACCCTGCCACTTTGCCATGAGCTGGTGTTACCTCTTTGAGCTCCTGGAAAGAGCTCTGTTCTTTATGAGCCTTTGCCCACGACTTACTTTCTGCCCAGAGCTCTGTCACCTCTCCCAGCTTCTCCTGCTTCAGTTCTTAGATTTAATGATGTTTCTTCAGATAAGCATTTCTTAACATGTCACACCATGTCAGTGCTCTCCATTAAACACTTTCTTTGTACCCCCCACTTTGCTTTGTAAGTAAATGATTATTTGTGTATTGCCTCATTTAATCTCTCCTTCCAGTTTTAATCAAACTCCCTGAGAAAGTCAATAACATGCTCTCCTACACACAAGGTCCTTGAATCCAGCTTTGATTCCAGAGCTCGTGCCCACAACTACCACATGTATCTACATTTCCTCATCCTGGAAGTTGGCTTTTTGCCTCTTTGTTTTATGGTGTATGGGAAACTAAAGTTTGTAGAAAAATCTCTCTGGACGAATCCTAAAGCAATGGTGCTCTGCTGTTGGTGAATCTCTTTGTGCATTTCCTGTCAGTAGCGGATGGCACACCTCAGCCTTCTGGGGGAGGACAGAGGGAGACATTCAAAGCTGTCGACAGGTTGGGCTGGCTAAACTAGACCCCAGCTCTCCTCCACTGTATGATCAACACATCCATGAGGGAGCAACATGAACCACCTTACAGGACTGAGGTAAGACTCATTCATTCGTTAAAGATTTAATGAGCATCTAGTATTTGGAAGGTCTCGGGTTACACGCTGGGAATACAAATGTGTTTTGGATGTTTAGCAGAGTCCCTATTTCATTTAGTTAGAGACGGTCACTTATTACTAGTATTATTACAGTTATGTGTCGACGTTTGCCTGTGTCACACAGCCTGAGTGACAGAGCATGTGATATTTGTGACGACTGTCACTATTCTTACCGGGTCCCCTGCGGGGCCTAGATAAACCGCCAACATCAGCGCGCGGGCTCAGAAGCATCACTGCGGGGCGGGGGCGCCCCTCCCCTCCCGGCCACCAGAGGGCGCGCGGCCTCTACCGCCCCGCCTGCTGCGTCTGCGCCTGCGCCTGCGCCGTGCCGGCCGCCCAGCCCTCCGCTCCCCTCCCCTGGCGCCAGCCCCGCCTCGCGCCCGAACGTTCCGCCTCCGTTGCCCCTAGCGGCTGTTTGTTGACTTCCGGGGACGCGGTAGTAGCCGATGTCCGGGGTGTCGCTATGGGGGCCTGGGGGGCTTCCGCGGCCCGCGTCGGGACTAAGCCGCTGCCATAGGCCCCACCGAATCGCCCCTGCCACCTTTCCAGTTCAGGTGCAGGCTCCCCGCACCGCCCTCGGCATGGAGGAACCCGAGGAGGTGGTGCCCGGTGAGTCGCGTCCGCGGGGGTGGCGGCGGGCCGGGAGGGAGGGTCCGCGGGCGGGCGGGCGGCCAGGTCCCGCCTCCGGGCCGCCCCGTCGAGGGAAAGGCCCGGGCGGCGGCCGCGGGACTTGGTCTGGAGCTCGGGCCGCGCCTCCGCGAAAGCTGGAGAGGAGCGGAAAGGAAGGCGGGGGGAAACACGGGGAAGGGGGTGCTTGTGTTTTCTTCTCTTTCTTTTAAAATAAGCTTCCGATGAGTTTCTCGAACGTGGGGGTAGTTTTTACCTCCCTATAAACTTCCCCAAAGTACCTCCCTCGAGGTCCCCAGGACCCAGTTAAGTATTGAATGCAGTAAAGAGTGGGTGACTAGAGGGCGTGGGGTAAAAGAGGAAGGGGGGAAACAACTTAGAGAAAGGGGGTGCGGAGGGAGCCATTAACAAGTGCTCTAACAAGACTTTTTCCCTGAGCTCCAGAAATACAATTGACATTGTGACGCCGTACCACAAGTATAGTGTGACAGACGTAGACGTTTCATGAAGTGGTGCTTACTCTAACCACTTGGTATGCTCTCAGATCTTTTTTATAGTACATTCCTTTAAGAATGATAATCGTGACCCACTAAATTGATTTTCTGACCCACTAATGGATCAAGACCAACAGTTGGAGAAAAACACTGGATTACAGCAGAATCAAGTGTGTGTGTGTGTACATATATATATATTTAGCGTTTTCCGCCATGCTCTTGGCTCTAACATGATTAGATTCCTGACCTCCTGGAGTCCAGTGAGAGATACTAGAAAGTAAACCAAATGACAGTACCATTTCACAATAGATACCAGGTGACAGAGCAGAGCCACCAAACCCTGGCTTGGGGCAGGCTATCTGGGAAGCCAGAATAGAACAAAACAAAATTATTCATTCTAGAAAAACCCAGTGTGTTCTAGAACCTGGCCTCTTCAATTTCAATTATCAGTTTGAATTGACACGCCTCACAATTGTTCTCAAAGGGTTTTTCACAGTGGCTAGTCCCCTGTACATTATCATTTATTATTAATACTTATGTTCCCTATGTTTATGGTACCCATTAGTTTCTTTCTGTGTGATTATTCTCCTTGAGATTTCCTCAAAAGCTGGATCTGGCCTTGTGTGTGTGTGTGTGTGTGTGTTTAAATGGTTATTGAAAACTGGTAGGGATTTTGGTCTCTCTCTAAAATGGTACTGAACCAAAATAGTCTGTGAATACTACTCAGATCAGGTAGTATTTAATGACTTAATTTAAGAGGATGTTAAATCTCAACATCCTATATCGACATGATGCTAATGGTGAAACTCAATACTGTCCTATTCCCATGTGTGGGGAAAAGCCTTCAATCGGGCTAGACCAGGGGGTGTTAACCAGTGTTAATGGGGCACAGATTTTATCAGTCAGCTCATTCCAGGGAGCAGATGGTCCACCTGGGGACAGCAGGACTTTTAGTAACGCGTTGAGAACTGCCCTCCTTTTTTTTTACTTTCCACCGGTAAATAACACATATTTAGTAGATTTCATAAATAAAACCGGAATAAAGTCTGAGGAGTGAGACTGAAGGTAGAAGGAGGATGTCAACAGTGCTAGAGTGGAAGCAGAGCTGCCACAAGACCAGGAATCTGTATAGATAAGTTACTGAACAAAATAGTAACAGACGACATAGTAAAAGTTGAAAAATGGATACTGTCGTGTATTTGCAGGTTCGGGTGCTGTGTTTACATTTGGAAAAACTAAATTTGCTGAAAATATTCCCAGCAAATTTTGGTTTAAAAATGATATACCTACATTTCTTTCATGTGGAGATGAACATACTGCTATTGTTACAGGTTAGTACTGAAATCCTAAGTGAGGATGGTAATCCTTAGAGAATCCTAAATATTATAGATGTGCTGTGTTTCAAACATGTTGAATATACTTTCCTTTACCAGAATAATGTTTTTTCTTTCTTTTATCAGAGAATTCTTGACAATTTGATTCATCAAGAGAGTGTTTTAAATTTTGAATCTCCTTGGTATATTTAAATATGATTTTGTATACACACTACTTTCTTGGAATAAATTTATTTTAATATATCTATATGATCAAAAGTGGTTACTGCATAGGGCGCCTGGGTGGCTCAGTTGGTTAAGCGACTGCCTTCGGCTCAGGTCATGATCCCGGAGTCCCGGGATCGGGTCCCACATCGGGCTCCCTGCTCAGTAAGGGAGCCTGCTTCTCCCTCTGACCCTCCCCCCTCTCATGTACTCTCTCTCTCTCTCATTCTCTCTGTCTCAAATAAATAAATAAATAAAATCTTTAAAAAAAAAAAAGTGGTTACTGCATAATCTTAGAAACTTTTTTTTTTAAGATTGTATTTATTTATTTGACAGAGAGACACAGCGAGAGAGGGAACACAAGCAGGGAGAGTGAGGGAGGCAGAGGCAGGCTTCCCGCGGAGCAGGGAGCCCAATGCGGGGCTCGATCCCAGGACCCTGGGATCATGATCTGAGCCGAAGGCAGACGCTTAACGACTGAGCCACCCAGGCGCCCCTCTTAGAAACTTTTTTACACCTAACAGAATCTGGTAACCCTTAGATGAACAGTGAAAACAATTCATTTAAATCTGTTTGTAAGCTTGTAACCTGTTTCAACACGGAAAAGCAATACAACTTTTAAGTGTAGCTTTTTTATTGCTTTGTGATGACTTCATCTCACATGACTTTGTTGAAAATGCTTCAGTTTCTTATGTCTTTTTCCTTCCCACCAGGAAATAATAAACTTTACATGTTTGGCAGTAACAACTGGGGCCAGTTAGGATTAGGATCAAAGTCAACTGTCAACAAGCCAACGTGTGTCAAAGGTTTGGGGTCTTTTCTTCTTTGTTGCTTTAAATACTTACACTATATAAAGTACTTTTATATTGATTGTGATGTTCTTTAATATCATATTGGGAATAATAAAGCCTTTAGTTCTTTAGTTTCCATTCTTTACCTATTATTGGTGTTTAACTTTATTTATTTTATTTATTTATTTTTTAAGATTTTATTTATTTTTTTGGCAGAGAGAGACACAGCGAGAGAGGGAACACAAGCAGGGGGAGTGGGAGAGGGAGAAGCAGGCTCCCCACTGAGCAGAGAGTCTGATGTGGGGCTCCATCCCAGGACCCTGGGATCATGACCTGAGCCGAAGGCAGACGCTTAACGACTGAGCCACCCAGGCGCCCCTTAACTTTATTTTTTATATGATAATCAGAACTACTTTTATATATTAGGGTCTAAAAATCACATTGCTTTTTAAACCCAAAGAACACGAAGTAATGATTCTTCGGTATTGCACTTGAATATCCTTTTACTTTGCCTGTTTGTTAATCTGCTTAAATATTACTGTTATTGTATATACAAAGAACAACCAATACAATATATAAGAATTTTGAGCTTTGTCTCATTTGTTAGAGTTGTGGGCATCATGGTTCTATGTAGTTGTTAGTTTTATGAATTACACTTTACCCTGCTGCATATAGTGAGTAGATGTACTGAATGAGTCATCGGGACTAGGGGTTGATTAGTACTAGTGTCCTTACAAGAACAGGGCAAAATATTTTAAATCAGGACTGTCCCAGAAAATATGGAATGTATAATACCTTTACAAAGCTTTCTTAGCATTATGTGTAAAGCTTCTGTTGGGTCGTTACCTGTGAACATCAACTAAGCTTGAGTGGTGATGGAGATTCTTTGGGATGTGCCAAGAGCAGTATTCTTAATCTTCTTAGCTAAATTTTTAATTTCAGCTCAAAATGTCATTGTAATTTAGCATATCCATGCTACTTATAGTAATGTTATGGAATTTTCAAAGTATTCTACTTGGTCAAAAAGTGTTTATTGAGCACAATCTACTATAAACCCTAGGTTGGTTGGTTGGTTGGTTGGTTGTTTTTTTTTTTTAACCCTGGGTTTATTCACATGATCTTTACTCTCAAATATCTAATAGATGAAGTAACAGGATTGTCTAGACTGTGATCTTTGACACCAGGGACTCTGTCTTAGTGATCTTTGCAGCCTCTATGCTAAGCACTTAGGAGGGGTTCTGTAAATCTTTTTTGAACATGTAAATGAATGAGTGAAGAGCTTTACCATAGGTTATGTCTATGAATATTGGACTTGTAGTGTTTCATTGTGTGAGGTAGAAGGTGAACTTGACAGTGGTGATAGCAGATTAGGGAATAGATCAGGTTGGTGAGGAGGCAGCATAACAGTGCCACGGATCTCAGTACATATTCATTACCTGTGGAGATTTGAAAAATATATAGCAGACCTACTGACTCACATTCTCCAGGGGTGGGGCTGAGCTATCTGTATTTTTCTCAAAGCTCCACTGGTTATTATGATGCACAGCTAGTCCTGAAAACTTTTGGCTTATTTGTTAAGAACATCAACTTTGGAGTCTGACGGGCCTGGGTTTAAATCTCGTTTCTACTGCTTAGTTACCATTTGACCTGTGTTATTTATCATTTTTGTAACCATAAAATCTTTTAATTGTCATTTTTTTTTGTATTTTTAGCTTTAAAACCTGAAAAAGTGAAATTTGCTGCCTGTGGACGGAACCACACCCTAGTTTCAACAGGTGTAGTATTCAATCTGTATGACTTCCTTCCCAATTTGAGGACAGAGTTCTCATTTGTGGCTTTGTAAAATTAATAGAAATGGTACCTTGGCAATAATAAGGTTAGGATTTTTAAAAATGTAAATGGTTAGCACACTTGTTTGCCTTTGAAAATACGTAGATAAATGTTAAGTGGCTGCAGAAAATCTTTTCTTGGATTATGTCAAGGGGAAGCCCATCCTTACCTATGTGCACACCTCAGGGGCCGCTTGCTCCTGATCTTGCTCTTTCCTCTTTTCTGAGGGTGAGTGGAAGCCACCCCCAAAAGGCTATTGATGTGAGCACAATTCCAATCAACATCCAAATGGGCTGTGTATGTCTGTGTGTAGAAACTAACAAGGTGATTCTAAAGTTTATATGAAAAAGCACAGGACCTAGAATAGCCAAAACAGTTTTGGAAAGAACAAAACCGGAGGGCTAACACTACTGATTTCAAGGCCTCTAAGGCCACAGTAATCAAGACACTGGGCTCTTTGCAAAAAGAGAGACAAAGATTATCAGAACAAAACAGAGTCCAGAAGTAGACCCACACATATCTGCCCAACTAATGTTTGGCAAAAGTGCCAAGGCAATTCAATGGAAAGAGGGTAGTCTTTTCAACAGATGCTGCTGGAGCAAATGGACATCCAGGCGCTGATCACCGAGCAGCCTGTCCTACCTCCTTCTCCCCCATAGCCTCTTCTGTGTTCAGGTTATTCTCACCGCCTCCGGCTCCTCCTCAGCCCTTTCCCCTCATTCATACTTTTTCCTTGCCAAAATTCCTTTCTTTTACTCAGATTCTTATCTTTTAAGATCCAGTATAAGTCTTCTTCCATGGAGCTTTCCGTGCCTATTCAGCTTCGACTCATGTCATGCTCTGAACTGCTTTAGTCTTCCACCAACTATGGTTCACGCAATATGTGTTAAATCACGTGGCCTTGTGGTATGTTCCATTGGAAAGCTAGTCTTGGTTCCTCAGCTGGGTGTCATCTTTTCTAATATAATAATCTAACTTTAAATTTTTACTGATTCAGGCTGATTTTACCCTCAGTTTCCCCTATAATTTAGTGAGGCTTTAACTTCATGTGCATTTGTATGACAGATACAACTAATTTTTAATATGGGTATGTTTTTAAAAATCTTCATTACTTTTGAGCTTACTGGCAATTTTTATTATCTGGGCATGATACACTTTATATTTAATTAATAAAGTAATTAACACACATTTACGTAGTGTGTACAAGCAAGTGCCGTTCTAAGAATTTTATAAATGTCAGCTAATTTGATCTTTAAAGACAACTCTGTGAAGTAGGCAGTATTCTTATCCCCATTTTGCAGATGAGGAAAATGAGCCGCTGAGAAGTACAGCTTGCCCTAGGTCGCACGGCTGATGAGGGGCAAGCCAGCATTTGCACCCAGGAAATCTGGCTCTCCAGTTCTCTCTCCTAAACCCAATACTATACTGCCTTCCTATTTAGCTAGAAGATTAAAATACACATAGAATTTTCATGTTTCTAATGATATTCTTTTTGGATTTGCCTCATTTTACTCGTTACATATTATATCTTTAATGGGTATGGAAGTTAAAATTAATGAACCACATCTCTTTTAAAATAGTTTGATTTGGATTATAAACTAATTTGGAAATTACTTTCCTCTTTTTGTTCTGATTTAATAAAGTGCTGCATTAGCAAGAAAATACATTCCACACATTCTGTGCATTTCAATTGCTACTTAAGCTCTAAACCGATTTAGAAGATCTCACAAACATGTATATAACCTTGCTTGTTTTGCTTGATTTTTGATACCGAATTAAAGTTGTTCACCGGATGGTAGGATAATGTCAGCTTTCAGCTTTTTTCACTGTTAACAGGGGAAATATCTGGTACTTGGCCTGTCTCGTAAAGATGGTGACTGTAGTATATTGATGTTTCTTTCCTTTTCCATGTGCAGAAGGAGGCAAAGTATACGCAGCTGGAGGAAATAATGAAGGACAGCTGGGACTTGGTGACACTGACGAGAGAAACTCTTTTCATCTAATTAGCTTTTTTACTTCCCAGCGTAAGATTAAGCAGCTCTCTGCTGGATCCAATACTTCAGCTGCACTAACTGGTGAGACTTTGTTCCACTTCAGGCTGGGAACCATCCCTTTCCTTTAGACCAGGATATACCAACTGAATCACCTGACCCCAGCATTGCTGTTTCGTTTTCTTTCATTAACTATGTGTTTATGAAGGCATAAAAATTGAAGTTTGATTCATGACCTAGAGTCCAGTTTTGTGCTTATTTAGAGTGAGATGTAAACACGCACGTAGCTGCCATGCTTCCATCTACTCCTGTAGATATTAAAGCGTCATCGTGTGTTCTGAATGTTATATTTGCAGCCGTAATGAAGCTGCTATCAGAAACATAGAAGTCTATTAGATATATGTTATCAGAATATGGTCTGGGGGTGCCTGGCAGGCTCAGTCAGAAGAGCACGTGACTCTTGATCTTGGAGGGTTGTGAGTTTGAGCCCCACCGTGGGTATAGAGATTACTTAAGTAAACTTTAAAAAATAAAATCAAATACGGTCTGTATTGGTCATGGCATCTCTCTGCCCTCCCTCTCAAAGCCCATATGAGAAATGTCTTTAAAATGGGAGCCAAGATACACGCGGTGTCTGTGAAGAAGCTGCCAGTGGGCTTCTCCGCCCCAGGGGGGGAGCTGTGTGGCCCCCAGCGCCGCTCCGGCTGCCGGGAGGGCTGGAGTCACACCTGCAGCACCGTGCCCGCGGTACCATCCACCGCCCACTTAGCCTCTCAACGTCCTTGTGGTTCCTATTTTCAGTTTTCCTTTGATTTGCCTTATTATTAAACCACTTCAAAGATTTGAAAATTTTAAATTCATTAAAGGACGTAAGTCTTGATAATTTCTAAAGTATTTTGCCTAGCTTCACTTTTTCTTCCACTGAAACCCTAATCAGAAAGAATACACGCTAATGCATTTGGGAGATGCTCTATGTGCTCGGATATCTCCTTAATCTCTGAAGCCATGGTATGTGTTTTCAGTTGTAAGAAAAAAAAAAAGTGAAATGCATTTCTTTTTCTTTTTTGCCTTTCTTTAAAACTTCGTTTTTATAGTGTTCTCAAGAGCAAGGTCCTCCAGGCCCTTTTGACCTGGGACTTGCCCAGGAAATGTCCAGTGTGGCTCATGCTGTCGTTCAGTTCAGTTGCAGGCTGACTGCTTGAAAAGAAGAAACATTTGCTGTTCAGAGACAGTAGACTAAGAAAAGGTTAAGTTGAGATAAAAATATGGACATGATTTGCATCATGTTATCCTCTGTCCTTTATCATCATAGAAGCCTTTCATAGTAGAAATTGAACTCTTATGCAGCTAGCTGGTGTGAATGTCTTAGTAGCACTTTCCTCTCAAGACACGTAGTTTTTCTAAGTTAAAAAATAAATGCTGTGTTGGAAATATAACAACTTGATAGCCTTGCTACCTCTTAAAACCTTTTTTTCCTCCTTGTGTTTTCTTTATAGAGGATGGAGAGCTTTTTATGTGGGGTGACAATTCTGAAGGGCAGATTGGTTTAAAAAATATGACTAATGTGTGTGTCCCTCAACAAGTGACTGTCGGAAAACCTATCTCTTGGATCTCTTGTGGATATTACCATTCAGCTTTTGTAACAAGTAAGACAACATTTTGGATTCATCATGTTACCTCGTATTTCTAAGTGTTTACTCAGTTAATGATAAAATCTAACATTCTGCAGTTCTGTAGAAATAATGCCATGGCAGTCTATGTAATGAAATAATTGTCCATTTTGGGTCACAATGTCTCTCCATTTTAGTAATGACAGTTTATAATTCAAAAGTCACTCTGAGATGTTAACTTTTTTAGTGACTATTAGAAAAAATTAGAAAAGCAAAATGTGTATGTCAGAAACTTCTAAACTTTGGTTCTCAAACTTCTTGAATTCCTTGGCATTGGAAATGAGATCTGTGGGGCCACTTTCCCTGGGGTGCCCTTGCCTCTGTACTTAGACCTACTCTACTCTTGTCCTGCTAATTAGCTTTTATTGTTTCAGTAAGGGAGTCATAGACTTTCACTGTGAGAGCAGGGATGTAGAGTGGATGGAAAAGGAAGATTGCTCAGTATGAGATAGGATTTCCTTTGCTGGAACTTTCCTTAGCATCCCCGATCTCTCCCTTTCTGGGGCTCCCTGGCAAACCTTTTCTGCCTTAGTTAAATATTTGAAATGTTATAGTCTGTATCTACACAGGGAGTGATAGCAGTATGAGCATTCCATCTTATTGTTGGTTTTTCTAACAGCAAAAACACCTAGAGGAAATAGTTTTGTGGGCCCTCTTAGATATCTCTAAATCTTTGTTTTACATTCTGTGCACCTCAGATTCAGATTTAGAAAGTGCTGATCGACCCATTCCCGTGGCGCTCAGATTTCCCAATGAATTGGTAGCACCATGGTACCAAGAGAGGGCGAACTCCCGACTCAGCTGGCATTGGTCGCCACTATATCAGCTTGTATCTTGAGCAAACTAATAATAAATATCGTCAAATGAGGGAGTAAGTGAATGAACAATTCATTGTGTTCCTTGGGGCAATGCTACCTACCAACTTATTGGCAACTTTGTGGCTCCTGGGGTTGGTGTAGTCTGTGCTCACTTGGTTTATGAGACAAAGAAACAAACAAAAAAAAAAACACAGATGGAAAAACAAATAAAAGTCCAAGCAAAAGCATCGTCTTCTATTTAGATTTTAATAAAATTGCCAAATTCAGTTTTATGACCAAACTCTGCTTTAGCCGGTAGGAAAATAAGGAATTGCTCATTGTGGCCAACAGGCGTTGCATTGAGCTTTTTGGTTTTGTTTATATTTATGCCTTTTATTTTTTTTAAAAAACAGCTTTATTGGGTGGAATTTAAGAAACAAGACAAACGAGCAAAGGTAAAAAAAGACAAATTAAGAAACAGACTCTTAACTATAGAGAACAATCTGTTGGGGGGGGGTAGGAGGGCTGGGTGAAACAGGTGAAGGGGATTAAGGAGTGCACTTGTGATGAGCACCAGGTGCTGTATGGACGCGCTGAATCACTATATGCTACACCTGAAACTAATATTAACACTGTCAACTGGAATTAACATTTTAAAAATTTTTAAAAAAGTCAAAGAACATACACACACAAAACCAGCTTTATTGACATCTAGCTCACATACCATACAGTTCACCCATGGTAAGGTGTGAGGAGCAGCAGGAATTTATAGACAAAAGTGGAAAGAAACTCATCTGGACTTAGTAACTCCTTTCATGTAAGAGCAATGGGAAAAAGAGGAAGGGATCCGACAGAGCACTTCTGTGCTCGTGTTTGCTAAATCCTTTATAGAAAACTGTGGTTGAGAAAATTTCATTTTCTGTGCAGATCAATCCAGAAAATCGGTAGAGCTGGGTTTGTAGTATTTGACCAAGTTTTAAGTGGTGCATACTATGTGTGTTGGATGTCCCACAACTTCCCCAAGTTCTGTTTTGCTAGAAGGACTCTCAAGCTGTTGAAGCTCAACGGCTCAGCTCGACGGCTAAGATTTATTACAGCAAGGATACAGAGCAAACACAGCTGGAAGGAGATATGTGTCCTCCAGAGAAGTCTAGCATACACTTCCTAGTCCTTACTCTTTGCTGCACAGGACGTGCTTTGAACTACAGGGATGTGTGTGTAATGTCCATGCCCAGAGAAGCCCACTCTATCCTCAGGATCTGTGGCTTTTACGTGGGCGTGCTGATTGTGTAGGCATACCTTGCTAGCAACTAGTCACGGCAACTGAAACTCCGATCCCTCAACAATGAAACCAAGTGTACATTATCAATGTTGATGGTTGTTCAGAGCAACCCTAAGAACCCAAGCTGTCATAATTTGTTGTTCAGGTCACAAAACAAAATCATCAATCACTAACATAACACTCCAAGGGCCACATTCCCAGGGGTTGGTCAATGGTCAATGATGGTTCTCTTGGAGACATGCAAATAATAACCAGATATACTGTGTTACCTCTCTCCTCACATGAATGGTGATGTTTTGTGTCAGATTAGGTTATATATCTACAAAGGTGTTTAAATTCCTGCCTTATAGGACTCAGTTCAGTTCATAGAAATGAATTCTAAAAAGTTCCTGCTTTCAAGAAGCTCATAGTCATAGTGTGATAAGTATAATAAGAGAAGCAAGTTAGTGTTAGTATGGACGAGACAGTGATTAAACGTCACGAGTTCCTTGATAAGAGAATCTTTCTGGAGGAAGTGCCATCTGAGCAAAATCTGCTATCTTAAGGCTCACTCAACATATTTCCTTCACACACAAATGCATTTTCTAAAACAAGTTTCATAAAAGCAGTTATTCATTTAACAAGTATTCATTGAGTATTTCATATTCCAGACACTGCTAGGTTCTTGGAATACCAACGTGAACAAGACAAAGTCCATGTCTTAATGGGGGCTTAATGTCTAGTCATTTTGCTTTACTATAAAAGGAAATAGAAGAAATAAGATGGTCTCTGTGTGAAACAGCTAAAATCGTTTTCTAGTTCATTAGTAGCGATGGTCATGAATTCATAAAGACTTTGGATTAGCATAATCAAGGAGAAAAGAAAATCTTAGCTTTATTTCCTTACCATACAGTAAAAATATCTCAAGAAAGGGTAAATTGATCAAGTTGTCATTTTCTAAATTTTTTATTGAACATGAGAATGTGTACCCCAAAGACTAGTATTTTGTCCATAATTATGTCATCCTTGTCATTGTTCTTTTCCTTCCTTTTCCTTCAATAGCGGAGGGAGAACTGTACACATTTGGAGAACCGGAGTGTGGGAAGCTAGGTCTTCCCAATCAGCTGCTGGTCAATCACAGAATGCCCCAGCCGGTGCCTGGAATTCCCGAGAAGGTGGTCCAAGTAGCTTGTGGTGGAGAGCACACCGTGGTTCTCACAGGTACATGTGGATCCTGCTGCTCTGTTCCCTGCTTTCTGGGGTGGCTAATAATTAAAAAAAAAAATTACACTCATTTTCTTCTATTGTGATAAAAACACTTAACATCTGATCCACTCTCTTCACAGATTTTTAAGTCTATAGTACAGTATTGTTATCTACAGGCACAGTGTTGTACAGCAGATCTCTAGACCTTACCTTGCATAGCTGAAACTTTATACCCATTGATTAGCGGCAGCCCTTTCCCCCTCTCAGCCCCTGGCAGCCACCACCCCAGTCTGTGCTTCTGTGAGCTTGACTTTATTAGATACCTCATACAAGATGGCCTCACATCTTTTTTCATTAAGATCCCCATGTTCGATTTCCATAGTTAAAACACATCTTTGGCCTATGGAAGAAAATTGTAAGTAGGAAAAAATGAATCTTGTGGAACTGTTTTTGCTAACATAATGGACTGGCAGCAGATAACGTTGTTTTTAGCTTGTTTTCAAGGACAAACTGCCGTGTGTGTGTGTGTGTGTGTGTGTGTATTCTATATTTATCTAAAATTGATATCACTTTTCCTGAAATACCTTCTTTTCCCTGTTCATGCTGTTGTCTATATGTCATTGATAATTCTTTTCTTTGTGATATTCACAGTGTAAAACTTGGTAATTTCTTTGTGATTTTTTTTATGTTCTATTATAGTAATTCAACAAAAAGTGTTAAGATTTTGAATTACAGATTATTTAAAGAAAGTTAGAACCTTAATAGCAATGTCAGTTTTGCCTTCTGAATTTTATATTTGGTATGACATGTCATTTTTCAGGATTCCAGTCAATATGGTAGAATATACATACTCCTTGATAATATGCCTACTAAATTGCTGTCTCCAAATTTGTTCAACATTAGATTTATTTGAGTAGCATACAGGTAATACAGCTAGTGAATTATTATATTTTTTTGGTCAAAAAGAAATTAACAGTTTCTGAAGTCACCACTTAATCTTCAGTAGCCCAAAGTTAGCAGTGTTGTAGGCAAATTTTGAATAATATCCAATTCTCAGATGATATGCTTACTGTTGCAGGGTGATTGAGCGATATTTTATCTTTAGATTTTCCTCTCTCAGATTGCTTTTCCTTGACTTTTTGTTCTAGTCCAAGTCATGCTTGTTAAGCGGTGGTTTCCCAGAATTACAATTCCCAGATGGAATCTGTTTCCAAGTTAGAAATGATTTTTTTTCAAGGCCTCCATTCTATATTTGGAAATAATTCTGAGGTTTAAGATTTCTTTGATTTTTCTGCTAACAAAATGAATTTCCATATATTTTTAAGAAGATTTATTTTAGGAATTTTAAACTTAGAAATTAATCTATAAATTATCTGAAAATGTATTCTCTAGGCAGAAATTCAACTTATTCCTTATGTGTTCTGTAATTTCTCTAGTTTAAACATTATAGAATTTATTAGGTGATTGAAGGTTATTCTAAAGCACACAAATGTTGATTATGTAAAAATAACACCATTCAACTATATATTATAAAATATCATTACATAAAATGAGCACCCAGATAATCCATGATACTTTTAATTTTACTTAAAATTTTAAAATGCCCTGAAGTATGATATTTTCTTGCAATATTATAGACATTTAGCTTTCTGTGGACTTAATTTTGAGGTTAAAAACTATGTTGCCAGAAATTATTCTCTCTAGATTTTTGTAGACTTTGGGATCTCACATACCAGTAAAGTTTTTGTATTTTAAGTTTTTAATTTTGTGACAATATGAAGACCAGCAGATGGTTGCGATCTTCTGATGTGCATTTGGCTAAATACGGCATTGCAGAAAAAATGCAACCTTTTCACCATTGTATCATAAATAAGGGGGCATTTCAAAACAAAAATTAAAAAGCTCTCAATTTTATTGTAAAAGACACCCTCTTTTATATATTTCCATACAGATTTCCATTTTATATTTTCCATACAGATAAGTGAGTTAGATTCACTTATCTGTATGGAAAATTTACTGCTTCGCCTATTTTTCAAATTTCTCCATGGACCTGTGCAAGCTTTATTATGTGCCAGCCCTGGTGAGAAACCTGTGTTCCGGAGTACAGTGTAGACAGAAATAGTCCTAACTGATGAAGAAACAGACCTGAAGCACATATTGATTATCAGTTTGACTAAGGACTAAATTGAATACCTAAGAGTTATAGAATACTTTGAAGACCTTAAAGGAAAGAATAGCTAACCATCTGTTCTAGACCATTCCCTTCACCAAAGGAAAGGGCTTGGATTAGATGATTCTATGGGGGCCCTCCCTAGCATTGTTTTTCCCCTTTTGTCTATAACTCTGATCTTAAAATCTGTTTGGGTACCATTCATTAAACTACTTTAAAGATAATTTAAATTAGTTCATTGCCAGTGAATTTATTTAAAACATAATACTCCACGTGACCGTAAGAGGTTAGAAAATAAAACTATTGGTTGTGGCGATGGTATGATTAGTTTCTACTTTGAATCAGGAAAACAGTGGACTGCTGAGAAAGTGTCAGCTTGGAACTTGGGGTACACTAAGTGAAGCAGAGTGATAGACGTAATCTGGAATGTCATCGCCAGCATTAGCAAAAGCTAAGAAAGTTATAAGATGGGGTCCACAACGAAGTCTGGATCCCAAGGGAAAATAAGAACTTATCTTAACTTCTCTAGATTATATTTGGACAAACTCGGGATCTCTACAGGGCAACAAGTTACTAGTCATGAAATCAAATGTATTCTGAGAAATCAGAATAATATTCGTATGAAGCCACCTACTAAAACCTGTTTTCCTAATAGAGTATCATTTGTCAACATCGAATTACATTGTTAAATGTTACAAAGATGATAAGACCAACAATTGGATGAGTTGTTATATGTAATGTCCTCAGGTTAAAAAAAAAAAAAAAAGTAGAAACTGTCATCACTGCTAATCAGCCAAGTACCTGAAAGCGAACCCAATAGGGTAAGGAGCAAAACTTCTGTCACTTGACTCCGGCTGCCTGAATGGCCTCACTTCACAGGCTATCTCCAACAGCCCACATAACCTAGAGTGATCAGCGGCCAGCTAGAGATGGACAGTTGTCTTCACTTACCCAGTGTTCTACTGTTAACCCGACATTCAGAACTGGTGACATGCCATGTGACTATTAATTAAACTAAGAGATGGTACTTTTTACATTAAAATAAGGATGTTTTGCCATAGCCTCAGTGTGGCTTCATATCCTTGACACAGCATATTTTCTTTAAGAGGTATTATCTCTCTGTCTTATTTATGAAGTATGCATTATTAGACAGGAAAAATGTGAAACCATATGACAGTAGATAGTTATGTGTTCATCAGGATCCTCCACTGTCAGAAATAAGATGAGTCGATTAGTTACTTTTTAGAAAAATGTTCTTACAACGGAATGTCCTAGTGTGTGTTCAAATCTGCCTGAATGCTTTCTCATGTAAGCCTCACAGCAACTCTATTAGAGAGGAATCATAACATCAGAGAATTTAGGTAACTGGCGTGCTGGCCACAGCCAGTAATAATGGAGGTTTGGACTCCTGCCTGAATCCAAAGCTCTTGCTCTTCCTCCTGTACGCAGAGAGGCGATGTGTGGGACTTTGGAGAAGGAGACCACGCTTCCTGACTCAGGGCCAGACAGAGTTGTGTGTCTAAAGGGACCCTTTCGTCACCACCCATTTATCCTGTTTTTGTGCTTTTCCATTTCTCGAAAACATATGAACTAATGTTTACTAAGTTATTGGAGGTCCTTTGGAGTCAAAAAATTATTAACATAAAGGAAAAGCTTTTGTCCCCCCTTTCATTATTGTTGCGCTTCCTAGTGAAGGAACTTGACCTGTGAGTAAATCAAGCATATCTACGGTGAGTTTCAATTCTCATGCAAATTCTCCTCTGAAATTGTTTTACAAAATAGATTATTCTGTTAAACTATTTTTGAGAAGTAAGGAGTTCTGTAGGAAACACTACTCTTTTTTAAGGCAATGAAAGGAATTAGCTTAATGACAATTGATGCTGTTTTTAAAGAGCTGAGTGGTAATTATTGGGACATGTTAGGTAGTTCACTGACTGATGTGTCTTTAGCAATTCTTTTTACGGTCATATGTGAAAGGTAAAATCAGGCCCATGCCATAACTTTTATAATCGTGTGCCTTGTCATTTTTCTCCTCCTTCGTCATTGAGAATGTATACCTCAGCATTAGGTATTCTTACATGGATGTTTCAGAGGCACTTAACTTTCATCACAAAAGTTTGACTGCAACAGTTTTCTAGATAACGATGGTGACAGCATCCGCTTCCCTGCAATCTTTTTCTTGTATTTGCTCATTCCCTTTCAGAGAAAGCCGTGTATACCTTTGGGCTGGGACAGTTTGGTCAGCTGGGTCTTGGTACCTTTCATTTTGAAACTTCGGTACCCAAAGTCGTTGAGCATATTAAGGATCAGAAAATAAGTTCTATTTCCTGTGGAGAAAATCACACAGCTCTGATAACAGGTACAGATGAGAATTTCCGTTACATATTTCTAGAATGGGGTATGTTTTACTACAAAATACAAACGGTGTGGAACGAATGTATCTAACGTAAGCAAAGGAATCAATAACGAGAAAATGGGAGTTCTTGTTTCATATGCCGAAGTTGCCAAAGTGTAAAGTTGTAAACTCTTTTTTAACATTTCAGTTCAATTTCAAATCAGTGTAAATGATCCAAAGATTTAGAACCTCAAAACAAGTCATTGCTCTCAGAGGTAATATCACAGTATTATACTTTGGCAGAAAGCTGGAATCTTTTTGAAATTGCATCAGTTTGAAGGCTCTTAACTCTGCTCAGGCCAGAGGGAAAAGTCTTACAGGAAAGAACTTTAAAACGTTCTCCATGTTCAGTGTGACACAGCTACATACAGGCTGAGTAAATGCCTATGAAGCTTTTGCCGCTAGGAGGCGTTTCCAGGAGTGACTCTGCTACTTTCGGCACAGTGATAGAAACGCGCGTCAAAGGCCACTAGGTGGATACCTGGCTCCTCTAGATCTTTTGCTCTGTAGTTTCTCCTTTATCCAGGGAGATACTGCTTTGGGCCTACTTCTCAACCTCAAAAACTAGGTGCTGCTAATATGGACCCGATAAAGATTCTCCCCTAGAAATAACTCACTTACCTGTAGGTAATTGATATACTCCACAATTGTAATTACTTTGGAACAAAAGCCCCTGTAATTTCACTATTTCTAGCCCACATTTCTATCTAAAAATGAAATTAAGCATTAAAAAGGCAGAAATCATACAGTATTTTGAAATAAGCCAGATACAGGTATTTCGACATTTGTTTCCTTTCTAAAAAAGCTACAGCTAAATGGAGCTCATCTAATGGTATCTAATTGGGGCAACTAGTAATCTGCAAATACAATGTATACTACCGTATACTGTTCCTTCTTCCCCAAAGAGCCTTTCAGAGAGATCTACCTGCCCATTTTCAAGTGTCAATGTCTTTGTTAATGTAGCGTGAAATAGAACTATATAGAATGTAAAGAATTATTATTCATTCATAGTCCCAGAAGAGTTGTTGATATGTATCCCTTACTGCAGGGTCCTAATGTCAATTTCGCTGTCCTTACTGCTGTTTTTCATCAACCCTAAATTGCCATTGATGGGAAACATGTACTTTTTATGGATCATCTAACACACAATTAGATTATTTGGTTCAACTTTCATACTACCTTTCCCCCTGATGAAAGAAGCGACAGCACAAATAATTGAACATTAACTTTGTTTGCTTTTTGCTCATAAAGCTTCATCAGGGGACAGGTTTTATGAATTTTGTTTCTTTCAGGACTAACAAGAGGTGTGTAGTGAGTTATTCTGTAAGTTCTTACTAGTTCCCCATTATGTAGCCAGTGGCTCAGGGTTTAAAAAAGCTTTCAAGAAAGTTCGAAGTACAATCAGGTAGCTTGGATCAGAGTTTATCTTTTCTGGCTAAAGATAATCAAGTTAAAACACAAAGCCTAAAAAACACTTTTGGTAAAAAAAAAAAAAACAAGGGTCAAAAGAAGAGGAAGAAGAGAAAAGGATGATAAAGGAGTATATATAAAGAAAGGAAACAAGTAGCTAATAGTAAGAAATATAAGAGTCTAAATTTGGGGTTGAAATACTGGTTATTGTTTATTAGTAGGGCATTTATTTTCTGTATTTTTTTGAAGATTTTTTGAGAAAGAGAGTGAGCGAGAGAGAGAGAGAGAGAGCGAGCAAGCACACAAGCAGAAGGGGCAAAAGGAGAGGGAGAAAAAATCTGAAGCATACCCCGTGCGCTGAGCACAGAGCCCGACGCAGGGCTTAATCTCAGGACCCTGAGATCACCACCTGAGCTGAAACCAAGAGTCAGAGCTTAACTGACTGTGCCACCCAGTCGCCCCTCTGTATTAATTTTTGAACTTGACACTTTACTGAATTATTTTTTCTCCTCGTTTTTCCTTCAGTTCTCTTGGATTTTCTTAGTATGAGATTACTTTGCCATCTTAAACTAGAAGTTCCCAGATGTGATCTTATCATTTCCTGGCTTAAAACCATTCATTCAATTTATTGCCGTTAAGATAGAGTTCAGAAATTCTTAATATGAACCAACAGGGTCCTCTGTAGTGTGGTTCCTTCCTACCTCTTCAGACTCAACTCATACCACTGGCCCCTTTGTGCTCCAGGCACATCGGTTGCCTTTCAGTTTCTTGACTGTGTTATGTTTTCTCTTGATTCAAAGCCTTCATATGTGTTTTCTTGCAGCTTATACCCTAATCATCCTTCAGGTCTGTTTGAAAGCCTTCCTTAATCCCCAGACCAGAAGGAAATCCCCTTCTTCTGCACCCATCCTGGCCCCCTTTCCTTTCCTTCTGCTTCCATGGCACTTTCCACCCCTTGAGAGAGAGGGTGTTAAGGAGGGCTTGAGAAGAGGAGTGAAGGTTCAGAATAGCTGCTCTGGCAGTGGGCAAAAGGGTTAACTGGAGAGAAACAGCAAGACTACTTATCATTATCGTGGGCCATAGAGGGGCCCTCGCCATTGCTATAGGGACTAGTCAGCATGGTTGGTTTATGGCACTTCCCTCGGCAGCATTCCACAGCCCAGGAGCTGAATCAGTAAGAGAGACAGTTGGTTTGATCTAAGCTGGTAGTTTTCCACCAGCGGCCATTTTGTCGCCCAGGGACACACAACAGTGTCTGCATACGTTTTTGATTGTCCCAGCTACAGAGGCAGGGTGTTCTATGGACATTTAGTAGACAGAAGCCAAGGATGCTGGTAAACATCCTACGGTGTACCAGACAGACCCACACAACCGAGAATTATCTGGCACCAAATGTCAGGAATGCCAAGGTTGAGAAACCTGAGGGGGGAAAATAGATTGTATTGGAACACAGAGGGGGTCAGAATACAAAAAGCCCCTTCCCCTTGAGAAGATGGTGTGTATGAAGAGATGGCTCATGCTGGGTTGCTGCTGTTCCACATAGTGCCTCACATGACTGGGCTTCAAGTTCACAAACCACTGATGGCTTAGTGAGTTGTTCTCACAGTGTCTATTGCCTAACGTTATCTGCAGGACCACGGAGACCACAGAGTGTGTGGAAATATCAGTGGATCAGAGTAAACTCAGTGCAGCATTTGAGGGGGAAATCGTAATTGCAATATAAGTAAATATATTTGCCTATTTACAAATAGATGCATACAAGTGAGGCTTCTGTAAATCTCCTGTTTTGCATTCTAGATGTAGGTCTCATGTATACGTTTGGAGACGGCCGGCATGGGAAATTAGGACTTGGACTGGAGAATTTTACCAATCAGTTCATTCCCACTTTGTGCTCTGATTTTTTGAGGTTTATAGTTCAACTGGTAAGGACATCACATTTCCCTGTTTACATTTTCATATTCCTGTATATTTGAGTCTTGCAGTGTTTCATAGAAAATAGGCACTTTTATGTTTGTTGAAAGAATATCATGGCTTTATCTAATCAGTATACTCATTTCCTAAAAGCCAAATGTCAGACATCATGGCACTCAGAAAAGCTGTCCCTTTCCAGTCCTCCTCCTTTGAGCATCGTCCTGAGTTCTCGCCCTAATATTGACTCTCCTGCTTTGTTCCCCTGTGTCTCTTGAGAACCAGAACTGTGCCATGCCTGGAAGCTTGCTTGTCTGCTCCAGCAACCAGCAGAATGTCTGACAATCACCTATAAATAAAGACTTATTTAAAATAATAATTTCACATTATTATGAAAGAAATGTTCAGAGTATGCTATTCTTATAACCACCGTGTAGAACACTATAAAGTTGCTAAAAAAAAAAAAAAAATCTGTGTATTACAAATACCACACAATAGTTTTTTGGGCATTTTATTGAAAATCAGTTCTCTCTCAAAATCCTTTGAATGTTGGTTTCATTTTTCCTTGTTCCACCATAGTGCATGCTTACATTTTGCTCTAAGGACGTTTAAGCATTGAACTTCAGAAGTGTTCATGTAAAGAAAAAGGTTTGGAGGCATAATTATCCTGAGAGACTGATTTCTTCTTGGATCACTTTTTTCCAAGCAGAACTTCCCTGGGTAATTTTTTTCAAGGTGTTTGTGTTACTCTCAGATTAAAATAACACTGTCTAACTTGTGAGGAGAAACATAATGTGCCAGATAAATTGGAAGTAAAATGGTGTGTTAAACTTGTTCTAATTTTCAATTGTAGTGTTTAAAGAAGACATTATAATTCGTCTGTGTGTGTGTGTATCTGGGAGGAGGGGAGAGACACACTGACTACCTAGGAAGTCTACCATTAAGTAAATATTTTGTAGCTGAAAACTGTTGAAAACCCATTTGTGTTTGAAATCATTGTTGATTAAGCAACATGTGGTTTTGTGCTGCAGGTGGCTTGTGGTGGGTGCCACATGCTTGTTTTTGCCACTCCACGACTCGGTGGGACAGAAGAAATGGAGTTAGAAGAGATAAACGATTCTTACCTCCCTGCAGCACCTCCTCTGCCCCTCAGCGATCTGAGCTCAGGGAATGTACTGAACAGAACTCCGTCAGCACGTGTGCGGCGAAGAGAGAGGGTATAGAGTTGGGGCCAGTTCTGTATCATGGCACTGCAAAGAGAATGGGAAAAAAAATGCATTTTCTTTTTAAATCAAAGAAGGGTCTTTTGAGGTAGATTTACTAAATAAAATGGTTAGAGGTGCAGGCTTACAAACTTAAAGCAAATTCAGAGTTAAGCTGTTAAACACACAAATGAGAAAACTCAAATAATCATGGGTAACCTTGACTTAATAGAGAGAGTGGATACAAAGCCAAGATACCAAGCATCCTTTTAGAGGCCTATCTTCACACTTCAGGTTGAATGCTGAATTATTTTCTCAACTCCATATGGATTGACTTTTCCTTTGCTTTTTATCTTTTAGTTACACCTCATGAGCCATGGAAGGTTATACACTATAAACAATGAAATGTGGGAAACAGAGAAACAAGGACTTCAGTTTGAGATAGGGAATGTTCTTTCTCGTTTAAATTTAAAGGTTCTCATTCTGCTTTAAAATTATTATTTCAATGACACTTGTATTTAAAAAAAAAAAAACAAAAAGAAAATGCCAAATAGTTTTTAAAGGAGACATTCCTTTTTTAAAGAGTTGCTTTAAGTTCCAAAACATTCCCTTTGAAGTAAAAAAGGTTAAGTTTGGCTTTTTGTTATGAAAAAGTATATATGGAAAGACTGAGAAATAGCAGTATTTTGTAGTTAATTGTTTGTTTAGGTCTCGTGACTAATTTTTTTGTTTCCTAAGGAAAGCAGAGAGAATACACATACACTTTTCCCCATCGTGTGAAAAACAGACTTCTAATCTAACAATTTAGAGCAACTTAGATATAGAGATAACAAAACAAAACATTTTTGAGTCCTTGGGGATAATTTAAAAATGAATGTGGGGACAGTGGGCAACTTCGAAGTCTCTCTCTCAAATATTTTTAGCAACTGGGGGGTAGTTTCTGTCAATACTAAACATGTAACATCATCTAATAGTTTATTTAACCTGTTTATTTTAAAGGAGAAATCACCCGATTCTTTTCAAATGACACGAACTCTACCTGCAGTTGAAGGAACTTCTGTGCCACCAGTTTGCTTTTCCCCCAGGCCAGTTCCTGTCTATATGTCTGCAAGTAAATGGCCAGGGAAAATGATACTTGAAAAGGAGGACCCCATGCTGCCAGTGGAACCAGGTAACAGCTGATACTCTGCCTGCTCACAGGAAAAGTGTACTTTTTATTCCTATTGGTGTCATGTTTATCTTAGGATGTTCTTGCCAATTAACTTGTTTTCTTCCTAGTGGGAGGCTGACATCTCTTGTTTGAGTTCCAGTCCGGGAATGCTCTTACAAATACAAAGCCTCACCAGTGACCCCAAAAATCCCATGTAACAATAGCAGCATATTTTTATAGAGCAACGTCTAACATACGTAGTACCTTCTCTTACATTACCTCCTTTAAACCCTGAAGCAGTTCCATGAAATAGGTGGGAGTTCTAAACTCTTCATTTGGATAGATGAGAGAAGCAAGGCCTGGAGAGACTGAGTGACTTGGCCAAGGTTACTCAAGTTATAAATGAAGAGAGCCGGATTTGAATGTGAATCTCCTGAACCTATGTGAAGTCTTGCATTTAGGCAGTATACCATAGTGGTCAAGAACACGGGGTATGGGGGCGCCTGGGTGGCTCAGTTGGTTAAGCGTCTAACTCTTGATTTCGGCTCAGCTCATGACCTCAGCGTTGTGGGATCGAGCCCCGCCCAGCGTGGAGCCCTCTTAAGATTCTCTCTCACCCTCTCCCTACCCTCCCCCCCCACTTGCATGCATGTTCTCTCTCTTTCAAGAAAAAGAAAAGAAAAAAGAAAAAAAAAAGCATGGGGTATGGAGTTAAACTGATCCGGGGTCAGATGCCAGCTCTGACATTTATTAACCGTGTGCCTTACTTTGGGGAAGTTACTTAATTTCTCTAACCCTCAGTTTTCCTATCTTTGAAATGAGTTTAATAATACTTCTTTAGAGTGATTGAGATTAAATGAGATAGGGTATATAAAATACTTAGCATTGAGCCTAGCACCTCCAGGAAGCTCTTTATAAGTTATAGTCGTGGTTATTATTAACACTTCTTCCTCACTGCTTTTTAGATACACATTATATTTTAAATTGTAATGCCAGCTCTTTTGTTATTATACACCTCTTTTTTTAAAAAAAGATTTTTATTTATTCATTTGACAGAGAGACAGCGATAGAGGGAAGAGAAGCAGGGGGAGTGGCAGAGGGAGAAGCAGGCTTCCCGCGGAGCAGGGAGCCCACATCGGGCACTCGATCCCAGGACCCTGGGATCATGACCCGAGCTGAAGGCAGACGGTTAACGACTGAGCCACCCAGGCACCCCTATTATACACCTCTTGTAAATAATTTTGTTTATAGGCATTTATGTATCTTAGGAGTGTGTATATGTTACCAAAGGGCATATGCTTGAATGGTAGGGGCAGGGCAAGAAGCCAGGATCAAGAGATCAGAGTAAACAGTAGGTTTGGAATTAAGATGATTTGGGCACGTGGGATTAAGAACCACGACACAGGTCATTTTTAGTATCTTTGGGATCAAGAACCTAGGCAAAAGCTGAGGTAGTAAAAGCAGGAATTGGGGGCCATGGGCATAGATCTACAGCTAGGACCTTGATCATGAGCCAGTTTCTTAAACTGTATTTTTTTTTCCAAAGGTTTATTTTATTAGAGAGAGAGAGAGAGAGAGAGAACATGCATGTGGGGGGAGGGGCAGAGGGAGAGGATCTCAAGCATGCTCCATGCTGAGCTCAGAGCCCAGTCTCAGGACCCTGAGATCATGACCTGAGCCAAAATCGAGAGTCAGACACTTAACTGACTGAGCCACCCAGGCGCCCCTGATAATGAGCCAGTTTCTCGAATCTCACACAGAACTTTTGTATGCTTCATTTTGAGATAAGCATCACTGACACCCTTCAGGCCTGTACGCGGTAAAAGTGGAGTCTGACAACAGTGTGTACAAGGAAAAGAGAAGTTTATGGTTTGGGGGAAGTTGTTTCCCACTTCAAGAGATTTGAATGTGAACATATACAGAGTTTTGTAGCTAGAGCCAAAGGAAAAGCTATTCCTTATCTTTTTATGACTCTTTGCTAAAACTGTCTTAAAAGTATTCTGAAAGTTATATCTAACATACAACATGACTTTTTCTAAATTATTTGTAGACTTCAGTGTTTATCGTGGAGGGAGGAAGGTCAGGGAAGACCTTACTGAGAAGGTGACATTTAAGCTAAAACATAAAGGATAAGAAAGACAGCCACATGAAGAGAGAGGTTATGTGCATTCTAGGCAAACAAAATCATATAGGCAAAGACTTGGAGGCAGTTTATAAGAAAAGGAAAAAAGACTGTTGGAGCTAGAGAATGCGGGAAAAGGCTAGACGAGATGTTGGAGAAAAAGAGTAAAAAAGTTCATGATTTTATAGGCTGTGAGAAGCCTCTTTGATTTGAGTGCTCTTCTTAAGTGCAATAGGAAGTCATTAAAGGGTTTTAATCAGTGGAGTGATGTGCTCCAATCCAATTTACATTTTAAGATGTTCACTTTTGCCTCTGTGTGGACTGTAGGCAGGAAAGACCAAAGGTAGGAAGAATACTTAAGAGCCCTTTGCAAGAGATGATGGTGTGTGGTCCAGGATGTTTGCTGTGGAGCTGGAGAGAAGGGGGCAGATTGGGAGTGCATTTGAGACCTAGAACTAACTGAATTTACACATAGAGGTGAAGGAAAGGGAAGAATCAAGGATGATTCTTGGGCAAGAGGATGGTTGACAAGCTTGAGGAAAACAAAAATCGAGCTTGGGATACCTGCAAGACATCCAAGCAGAAATATGGAGCAGGCAGTTGAATATGCAAGCCTAAAGTTCGGAAGGGAGGTCTGAACTAGGGAGATACATTTGGAACCCAACAACACAGAGATGGTATTTACAATCCATGGGACTTGGTGAAATCACCTGATAGATAACAGAGTAGCAAGACAGGAGAGCCCAGGAGTCAGCCTGAAGAACATCTTACATTTAGAGGGTAAGAGAGGAGGAGCCAGCAAAGAAGTTTTCCTCAGCCCCAGTCAGTAGTAGGGTCAGAGGAGGGAAATCAGGAGAGAGTAGGGTCATGAGTTCAAAGTACTGCTCAGAGGCCAAGGAGAAAGCTCAAAGAAGCATCCCATGGATTTGGCTTCGTGGAGAGGACCCGTGATTTGACAAGAGTAGCTTCAGGGGAAGATAAGAGCAGAAGCCAGAGGGCTAAGAGTTGAGGCTTGAATGGGAAATGAGGAAGTGAAGAGGAGCTAGGGTGTGTAGAGAATTCTTTTGCATATTTTGGTCATGAAGAGGAGCAGAGGAAAGGGCTGGCAACTAGAGGAGATGCGGGGTCAATGGGAAATAGTAGAGCATTTTTGTATGCTAATGGACATGGAGGGATGGGGCTGGCCTACAGAGCAGTTTTTGCATCCTATATTTCAACAGGAAAATTGAGGTAAATGTGTACAGTTGTTGGGGGGAAAGATAAGGCAGATCAGGTCTTGATGGCTTTTTTTCTCAGTCAAGTGTAAGGCAAGGCCGTGAGCTTCAATGATTTCTCTATTTTCCAAACCTCCATTCTCTGCCCTCTCCAGTCTATCCCATTTAGCACTTTCTACGTCAGTCTTCCTCAGGTACAGCTTTAGTTCCCTTCTGCTCCAGGGGCTTCTGGGAATCCCTGATATTTGTGAAAATAAGTGTAAGTTTCCCCATGGAACTCCCGCCTGCTTTTGTAGCTTTATCTCTCATTACTTTTTCTTATAACCTTAATGCAGATCACAGGTCTGTAAAGTACGGCTCATGAGCCACATCTAGCCAGCCACTTGTTTTTGTAATTAAAGTTTTATTGGAATCCAGTCACGCGATTCCTTTATGTATTACCTATGGCTGCTTTGACATGACAGCGGCAGAGTTTGAGTCGTTAGGCTGGAGACTGTATATGGCCACAAAGCCTAAAATGTTTACTAGATGGCCTTTTACAGAGAAAGTTTCCCGACTCTTAATTTTGATCAAACTGAGCTCTTCACAGTCAGACTTAGTGGAGAAGGCTGTGAAGTCAAGACAGACCTGAGACCGACACTCGGCACTTCATTTATTCATTTGTGAAGTGGGGATACGCTACTTACCTCTCTTGTTGTCATGGAGGTAACTCGACACGTGTGAAAGCATGTGTTCCAGCACATGGTCAGCCTTCGGTAGAAGCCATTCTGCTGCTTCTGTTAGTGGGCCTCACTTTCTTCTCCGTCCACCTCCACCACTGCATCTCAGAATTCTACTCACTCTTCCCCACACCTCTTTAGTGAAACATTTCCTGATTCCCAACATTCAGGTGTGATTTCTCATGCCAGTATATCCTATATTTTATATTCCCTTCAGATGATAGGTTCACTAAGAATGAGCCGTTAATTAAGTTGATTATCTTGCATGTAGCACTTCACATGAAATAAACACAAACTGTTTATTTGCTTCTTTGAATTGAATGAATTTATAAGGCCGAGATCAGTGGGGACTAGCATTTTTAGCAAAGACTTCGTTCAGGAGCTCCTCTCAAATAAACATGTGGGTGCTAAATGGGGGTGTATTAATTGAGAAAAATGAAACATCAAGTAGAGCTCATAAGTTCTAGTTACCTGCTCAATGACCTAATAACCTGGCAGTTTTCCATGAAAGTTTCTAGGTGCTTGTACCAGTTACCTGATTTTTCACATAACAAGTGGCCTTAAAACTCATCTCACAGAGTTTGTGAGGGTCAAGAATCCAGGAGCAGCCTAGCCGAGGGGTTCTGGCTCAGAGCGTTTCATGCAGTTGCAGTCGTGCTTCAGATGGGGCTGTAGTCACCCGAAGGCTCCACTGGGGCTGAAGGATGCTCGTCCATGCCCACTCGCGGGTGGCCATTGGCAGGAGGTTTTACTTCCTCAGTGCATGGACTTCTCCCTAGGAATGGTCCTAGCATGGCTTCCCCCGGAGAAAGTGATGCAAGAAAGACAGAGGGGGGACCGAGATAGAAACTGCAATGACTTCACAATTATGGCTGCTTTGTTTTGTTGGCCATACGGAACAACCTGGTAAAATGTGGAAGGGAACGACACAAGGGGACCCATTTCAGGAGGATGTGGGTCACTGGGACCCTTTTTGGGGACTCACTGTTACAGTGCTTGATACCTAGGTAGTAGTTCTCCCAAAGGTATGGTGTTTGCCTGTTCATGTGAAGGAAGCAGTTGCTGTCTTATCAGCATGGAAGTCTTTGAACTTTCAGAAAGAGACTTTAAAACCTCTTATCACTGTGAATGAACTCTGTTCAATTCCCTTAACATGAGGTTAAAGGACTTTAGTAAAATTATGCCTGCACTTTATATTACAGCATAATTTATTGTCCAGTTGTCTTTCAATTTTCCATTGAAAGCTGGTTTTCTCTTTTCCCTTTTAATCAGATTCTTTTCAGGATAAAATGGCCAAAGGGAAAGAGACAGACAGTTCTTCAGCAGCAGATTCAGGAAGCCTTGGAGAAACTACTGATGTCTTAAATATGGTAATGGTTTTCTTATTTATCTATATAGATATGTTCGGATTTCAGTTCATCATGTATTTGTATATGTGTACATCCTGTGCTGTTCCTTGCATTAAAAAAGGTTTGGGCTTCATTTTGTTTGTTATTTCTATATGTTATATGTTTATTATTTTATTGAAGTATAGATTACCTACAGTACAATTAATTTTGATCCTCGTATCATTAGTATGCAGTTGAGAGTAGATTATATTACTCTCTGAACTGTTTTGTTCATTTTATATATAAGGATGTATAAATATATAATCTCATATATAGTCTTTATTCTTTTTAGAACATATACTTTTTATTTATTGCAGACACATATGATGAGCCTGAATTCCAAAGAGAAGTCATTAAAATTATCACCAATTCAAAAACAAAAGGTATAATATAGAGAGTTATTCTCATTATGGTGGGTAAGAACAGTTCATATTTTTTCTTGAAAGTTTTCTGGAAAGAATACATGAAAGATAAGTATTCACTTACTTTAGATTTTAAAAGAGGATTACATTGTAGGTAGCCTCAACTTGGGTTTGTTCTGTTGGTATCTATTTCGGATATATGACAGGATTTCATTGCTGAAATTGGCTTTTTGGTGTCACTTAACAAGTCATAGTAGCCACATTTTCTTATCATCAAAGCAAAGGATTATTATGGCAGTTCATAAGTATTAGAAGAGGCTACTGTTGATCAGAATGGTTCTCGGACTTGGGTTGAGTATGACTTTTGTTGAGTTACCGTGTTGTTCTCAAAGATGATAGCATCTTTTCTAGCTCTAAAATTTGGTGGTTTTAGTGAAAATATTTGATAATTGCTTTTCCAGTGTGTGGAATGGGCTTTAATCTATCATGGAATTGATAGCCTAAGAACAAAATTAAACATTTGGAAATTAATCAGAAACTATGCATGGGTGATAAAGAGAGACTTTTAATGAATAACCAGCGAATAGCAAGAGGAAGGAATAGTTGGTGGTTTTCACAACCCTGGAGAGAGAAAGGCCTGCCCTGAAATCCTTTGCTTCTCCTGGCTTTACGGACCAGACTTTATGGGGTGAAAGGAAGGAGGGGTTTGGGGATTAGAAAAGTAAGTTGGAGAAATATGAATTGAAGGAAGAAGGCTTCTAGACAATATTTAATTTGTTTCCAGTGCCTTTGCCACATTATTAAGCTAAAAATCCTTAAAGTCACCGAAATGCAAGAGAGTCTTGCTGAATTATAAAAATTTAGTGCCAGCCTTTGTTAGTCTTACGTCTGTTTTACTGAGAGGCATGGTGAGTAACAGCATTCCTTTTGAATATGGGAGAACTGTTGTCCTAGCCCAGTGTGGAAGCTCAGCAAAGGTTGACTGACTTTATTGACTGACTACACTTCCAAGCACACATCTTTCCTGTGTCTCTCCTGCCTCTTCTCTTAGACCCGGGGCTCTGCCTCTTCTGAACTATTTGATTATGCTAGGGAAATAAAGACACATACATTTAAAAATCATTTCTGGCAACCGGGCCTCTCTGCCTCTCTTTAGGGCTCTTGAAAGAATTGTGACTTTTTAAAGAATAGGATCTAGAACAAACAGAAGGAAAGCACTTTCTTTTAAACTGATAATGTATTTTATACTTCACATAGTCCTTTTAAGTAGAGGCCCAACCAGACTTATTTTAGTGAATGAAAAAAAGATTTATTATAGTATTTCCATATATTGATGTTTAACTTGTGCTGTTTTAATTTTTGTGGGTTTTTTTTTTTTTTTTGGCAAAAAAATGACCTCTTCCTAAGCCTAGCACTCACGGCAATTTGTAACACTTGATTTAGTGAGGTTTTACTCTCCAGAGACGCAAATTCATCAAATATTTGAATTCATTAGCTTCTAGAATTTAGGTCAACAATTTGATTTTTGCCTTATTTTGTCCAGCAGGAAATGAATTTCATATTCTTAATGTATCATTCAAATTGCAGTGTTTAATTTCATAGTTTTTATAAAAATCTTAACATTTTACCCTAGATATTTTTTCCACATGGTGGTTGGTTTCATGTATGCAAGTTTATGATAATTAAAGAATGTAATAGATAAAAGGAAGAGGGTCAAAAATTTGAAAACTCAAAGATTTGTTTTGAAAAGAAACATATTATTTAGTATGCTGATGAAAAGATTTCATTTCAGATTTTTCTTGTAGAAGTAAGCTATTCATTTTTTCCAATGTTTAACAATGTCATATTTTCTTTAATTCTGTGAATTTCATGGAATTAAAAGACCAATCAAAATTTGACAATTAAAATAACAGGGAAGGTGGGGAAGAAAAGGAAACTGAACCCGACTGCATGCAAGAGAAGTGTGTACATTTTTTTTTTTTACCAGTATTTTGCACAATCATCAGTCTGGAAAGGTATTCTATTTAAGACTTGATTCAGATTAAGAAAAGGGGTAGAGAAGACATACTGATGGTCCTTTGTGAGTAGTGGCAACGTGAGAGCAGGTAGTGAGCATGTACGAGTTAGATGCAGACACGTGTGCCACAGCAGCATCGAGTGTGCCGCAGACTTAGAGAGTGGCAGAAGTTATCTCCAGTGAAAGCCAAATCTGAGCAAAACGTCTGGTAAAACTGGACATTTTTATTCTGCTAGCGAAACTTAAGAGTAATGCAAAATCTTGGCAGTGTTTTGTAGTAGATAAGTTACCTTTGTCAACTAATAGTAGTATGACGATTACTTCAAAAATTTACAGAAACAAGAAACAATTGAGAAACCGAAGCAGCGTACAGCTCACTCTGGAAATGATGATAGTGGAGGATTTGCAAGTGACGAGATGTCTAAAACAGTGAAAGAGGGGAAAGCCTATAAACAACTTTTGGCCAAAGGAATGTACATGATGCCAGCAGCTGTGACTATGGAAGCATTTTCAGATGAGGACGTAGGTAATGACCCAGGCCAGCCTGGGCCTTGGGCTGACACCCGTGCAGGGCGTGTGCCAAGAGAGCTATTTAGACGTGAAAGTAAGCGCTGTATTTATCCGCCTGACGGTAAGGCCATAGCAAAGGCAAGTGATGGAGGCCAGAGGCAGAAGGATCCAGACGCAAAAGAAACGGTGTGTGAGAAGGAAACTGAGCTGGTGGAAATGGCAGATCTGGAGGCTAGGAGACGAAGCGAAGAGAATTTAAGAAATCTTAATATGTTCTTTGATGACTTACCAAATAGAGATGTGATTTTTGACAGCGAAAGAGAATCTATAGAGGAGCCAGACAGTTACCTGGAAGGTGAAAGCGCAAGTCAGCAAGGTACCGCTGACAGCTTCGAGCAGGCCGAGTCAGTAGAAGTCAGTAGTGGAGAGGAGGGTGACGAAGTGGAAGCTGACCCAAACCTGTGGTATAGCAGGACGTTTTTCGAGCGAGGACATGAGGAAGAGGCTGAATACAGAATATCCAAATTCATGGCAAAGTATGATTTTAAGTGTGACCGCTTGTCAGAGATCCCCGAAGAGCAGGAAGGAGCGGAGGAGTCAGAAGGAAGTGGAATAGAGCAGCGAGAGGTAAAGGCAAGTGAGGCCAATGTGAAGTTGCCTGCAAGAAAACGGGAGGAGGAAATAGAGATCCTGTCAGACGTCCTGACAGACGTCCTGACGGACAGAGCAGAGGTGAGTGAAGGCAAGGGAAAGGCAGGAGGTGGAGGTGAGGGAATCCAGCGGGAGGGAAATTCAGGAGTGGAACAGAGGCAAAGTGAGGAGGAAGACAAGGGAGGAGGAGAAATGGAGGGCCTGGGTAAGGGAGAGAAAGACCTAGAAGAGGAGGAGGGCCAGGAGCAAAGGGAGGGGGAACGAGGCCATGAGGAAGAAAGCGACAAAGGGATGGAGGAAGGAGAAGGGCAGGAGAAGAGAGATGAGAGGGA